TCCCACAACTTTCTGGTATGTAGCCTCCATATTTCAATTTTGCTGTCAGTAATAAAAGAGGGGTAATAACACATAATATATATGTTTTATAGGACATATAATAATGTGTGATAGAATTATAATAAAGTGTTAAATTAGCAAAGGGTTTTCATTGTGCCTGACATACAGTAAAAGTGAACAGATGTTAATCGTCATTGTCCTTGGTAGTAGTACCACTGTAATTGTTGTTAGGCAAGCATCAGTGGATGTTTGAACTAAAGGATCTTTAGTGGTTTCAGGTCCCAAGCTTTTGAGATTCTGAGGGGTCAGTGAGAAAGGTGAGCCCCTTCCCCTTCCACTTTATTTTCAACACCTGAATGACATATGAGGTTGGTGGACGGTCTCGGTCCTCTGCTACCCCGGAGTGTCCTAGGGTACTGCATAAAGAGGTCACCATTCTGACTTCACTGCTGGACCCTGGACAGCTCCTACTTGTGTGGTTGGTAGTGTTGTCCCCTAGGACATTCTCATGATGCTCTTGAGAGGGAGAGAAAGGAGGGAGGAAGAAGAAGGTGCTAGTCTCCTTGGACCTGATCTGATTGGAATAAAGTAGCAACAGTGAAAAGGTGCTGGTAGGAGGAGATGTTTTTGCTTTCTGGGTTGAGATTCTGTGGGCGTTGGGTCCTTAGATCCTTAATCTCTCGACTCTTTCATTCAATGACTCCTTTCCGCTGCTTGCTAATGGACTTACCCATGGGCCCTTCTTTCTTTTCCTGTCTTCTCTCTTCCTTGCTTTCCCTTGTTCAGCAAACAGGGGTTTGAGCATCTACTGTGAACCAGACCCTGATCTAGATGCCGAGGTGAGAGCAAACAGACATGCCCTGCCTTTGTGGAGGCCATTGTCGGCTGGTGGAGAAGATATTAATTCCATTACTGTGCATGGGATGTCAGTTCAACTGGATGAAAGAATACCTAGAGAATCAGTGAAACATTTGGGTGTGTCGTGAGGGTGTTTCCAGAGGAGATTTGCATGTGAATCTGAGTGGGTTAAGTGGGGAAGATCTGTCTTCAATGTGGGCTGGTGCCATCTAACCCCTTGGGGTACCAGATGCAGCAAAAACAGAGGAAAGGCAACCTGAATTTTCTCTCTCCTGGAACTTGGAGACATTCTTCTCCTGTCCATGGACATTAGAATTCTAGGCTCTTTGGTTTTTGGATTCCAGGACTTATACCAATAGCCCCTGGGTGTCAGGTCTTTGGACTTGGAATAAACCATGCTAGCAGTATTCCAAGATCTCTAACTTACCCGTGACCTGCCATTAAGACTGCTCAACCTCCAAAAGCATGCGAGCCAGTTCTTCCATACAAATTCCCTTTTATCTATCCATCTATCTATCTATCTATCCATCCACCTGTATCTATCTATCTATCTATCTATCTATCTATCTATCTATCTATCTATCTATCTATCTATCTATTCATCCATCCACCTATATCTATCTATCATCTATTTTTGGTTCTGTCTCTCTAGAAAACCCTGATTAACATAATGCATAACAATATACAATATATAACAGTAGTGAACTCTGAGAAAGGAACATTTCAAAGTGCTTTTTACCAAGTGTAGATGAGGAAACTGGCCAGAAGTGAGGTTGGAAGCAGCAGTGAGGGTCCTGAGAGCTGAAGGAGGCAGAGGAGGTGGCCAGGTAAAACACAGGGGGAGGTATTCTGGGCAGAGGAAAAGACATATGCAAAAGTCCAGGAGGGGACTAATGGCTATATTCTCTAATTTCTATTTGCTAGAAGGTTTTATCTAAATTGTATTTACCCAAAGATTGACCCATGTGTACATGGAAACTTAACAGAAAATGGAGGTAGTACCACAAATCACAGGGACAGGACGGATTGGTGCATGGATCATGGTGGAAACACTGGGTCACCATTTGGAGAAAAATAAAACTGGAGCCCAGTTGGCACCCATACAAAAGGAGACTCCACTGTGGAAATTCGGGAAAAGGTATTTGCACCAACTAAAGTGAATCCAGGGCTGATATCAACCACATACCAAGAATGCCTGAAAATCAACAAGAAAAAGACAGGAAACCCCTTGGAAAGATGGCAAAGCAGGCAACAAAAAGAGTTGTTCAATGTTCTTTTCCCTTTTCTCCCCTCTCAGGACTCATTTTTACAACGAATTCCCATTCCTCTTTTTATTTCTGGACTAAGATTCAACAGCAGTTTAGCTTTCCACTCTGTTTGTGAAGACAGGTTAAACAGAAACCTGAGAAGCGCTTCCACATTGCAGCAAGTGCCTCCCTGACTGAACATCTGGGAGACCGCCAGAGACTAGCAATGATCTTAAGTGGCCACCAGGTGGCACTTCAGCACTCCCCAGCTCAGCTCCGGAAAGGAAGGCGTCTCTGAAAGAGTTTTGCTCATTTTTAGTAAATCATGAAAAACCAGCTAACTTTTTTGAACTGTTGGCCGGAATAAATAAAGTATTCCCCTAGATTTGTAAGTGAGAGGAGGCTGAAACTCTGGCTTTGTTTGCAATATTTGAGTAAATCTCTAGTACTTTCTCAACTAGAATCCATCTTGATTCTCCTGGGAGGGAGTTGATGCTGGATGCCCTAAAACAGAGCACAGGATGGGATGAGGACATGCCCAGCCCTTGCACCTTTAGAACCAGTGTGAGTGGCTATGGAGGAGCAAAGCTGGGGTGAAGGGGGTGGAAAAAGGAAGAAGGAGGCGCCTTTGCTTAAAAATCCTTGTGTGGCTGGGCACACTTTCTACTGCCTCTGTTCTTGCTTTCTGGAACCTCAAAGTGTTGTTGTGAGGCCTGAGCTATCCCAGGGTTTCACAGAATCTCAAGTTCTGTCTCTGAAGAACAGACTGCACTCAGTAGAGGAGGCAGAGGCTCCTCTGGCCATTAGGGTCCAGGGTCTTTCTGCCTGGAGGCATCCTAGGCCTAGCAAGTTCCATTCACTCCTATTAAGATGGACGTGAACAGGTGAAGGGGTTCCTGGCCCATGCACCATCCCCAGTCAATGGACCATGGGAGATGGTGAATCAAGCCCCAGCCTCCTCACCTTGTATGGGGTGGGGACAGTTCTGAGGGGTGTTTGCCACAGTCCCTCAGAGGGTCACCTTCAGGACTGAGTCCCTGTTGTCCTGAAGACTGACAAGCTCATCAACCCACTCTGAGTTGGCTTCTTCCCTTCCTCCCTTCTGCACTCTGGCTTCCTGAGATCACCTCCCAAACAAACTGCTTGCACCTGAATCCTTGTGTTGGGTTTTGTTTTCAGAGAATCCAAACAAAGAGAGCAGGAGAATGAGGTACATTTTGATGAGCAGCTCAGATGTTTTCAGAGTGCAAATAAGACAAAAGAAAAAGAAAAAGAGATCAGGAAAGAGACCTCCAAGTAGATTCAGAAAGCCACAAATGATCCCTAACGCTGTTATTTGATAAATCCCTTTATTCACAGAAGCCAATCACCTTGGGTATGTGGAGTCTTCAAAAACTATTTTGAAGATAATCAGAGTGAATAAGAAACTCAGGTTTGAATTTTTCCATTTCCTATAGTTCTGTCCAGAGAATAGAGAACTGACTGAGACTCCAATGCCACCCTAGGTGTGAGCCTCGTTCATAAAATATTAACCAAGAGATAACTTTTCCCCTGAGCTCATAATGGCTCCTGACATATTAATTGCTGCATTTTTGATGCACAGAAAATAAAAAGAGCTAAAACCCAATGGGTAAAGCTTTCTCTATTTACATTTCAGAAAACCTCTAGATGTATTCTTTTGTAAAATTCTGCACCCGGCTCAGGCAAGACTCTCAGCAAACAGTGTTGAAAGCCATTAATAGTGGGCTTGTGTAGGTTACATTTGCTTTATTTAGGGCCCTGGAAATGCAAGTGTCAGCACAACGTAGGTTTATGGTTCCATTAAATTGCTAGGAAAAAAAAATATATCAAGACAGTTAAAAAAACAACAGCACATACACACACAAGAAAGAAAAACAAGGTTGGGTGACTCAGCCTGAATAAATTAAGAACCAATTTGATGCAAAACATGGACTAAGCAAAGAGCTACTCTGTTTTTGTTGCTCATGAATCCCTCTCTCTCTCTTGCCCCTCTCCCCACCAGTATTTTTTTGGGTGTGGGTTAGGGGTGCTGGTATCATCACTCCTATTTCTTTTCTTTTTCTTTTTCTTTTTTCTTTTTTTGGTAGTGGAGATTGAACCCAGGGGTGCTTAACCACTGAGCTATATCCGTAGCCCTTTTACTTTTTAAATTTTGAGACAGGGTCTCATGAAGTTGCTTAGGGCCTTGCTAAGCCCACTCCTATTTCTAAAACTCCTGGAAAGAAGAAATTATTAAATGCCCAGCCCAAAAGAACTTCACACAAAGTTTTAGGCAGACTCTATCGCCTTAAAGATGAGAACCACTGCGTAAAACATTTGGAAGGGCTCTGAGTATCTTTACGAAAAATTTGTACGCACCTCCTTATAGTGTACAGGTCTATATTTGAATCTTATTAAAAATGTGATTGACATTGACAAAAGAGTAGCAACTGTACACGTTCATTTACGTAACATTCAAAAACCGGAAATGACCAATTTCTGCTGTTAGAACACAAGACTGTGGTTATTTTGGGATGTATGGGTAATAACTGGGGTAGGGGTAAGAGAAGGGTTCTGGGATTTGGTCATGTTTTATTTTTTGTTGGTTATATGTGTGTTGCAATTCTGAAAATTCACCAAACTCTGTATTTATGATCTGCTCATTTGTCTGTATTTATCTTATGCTTCAGTTGAAAAATTTAAAGCATATTAATACTGTTGTGATGTTAAAATTAAAAAAATAATTTGTTTTTCACTCTTGCTCAATTTATGACTCCTAGCTCTCTCTCCAGTGGTATCTTTTTGCTGGGTCTTGCCAGGCTAGAGACCAGACAGTACTCTTTTCTGAGGCTGGCTGGCCAGCAAGGTGCTCACCCTTTGAGAGAGCCATCTTACCTGCAACCTTGGAGTTGTAGGCTACACCAACCCCACAAATATTGTTGTTGGCTGCTGCTGAGACTTCTCCTGCACATCGGGTTCCGTGGCTGTGGGGAAAAAAAAGTCAAATTAGATACCTCTTTTGAAGAATTTAAAAATAAATTAGAGGGGCTGTGGCTGTGGCTTAGCAGTAGTGCACTTGTCTGGCATGTGTGAGTCTCACTGGGTTCAATTCTCAGCACCGCATATAAATACATAAAAAATAAAGTTCTATCAATAACTAAAAAAAAAAAATTAAAAAAATAAATTAGAGCAGTTTTAGTTTTTTACTGTATTTTCATTACTGATTTTATACATAGGAATGTCCACTCTTACCATGCCTGTTCAATATTGTATTTGAAAGTTAGCCAGAGCATTCAGGCAAAAGAAGGAAATTAAAGGGATACAAAAAGGAAGAGTTGTCAAATTATCTCTACTGAGAAGACCCAAAAAACTCCACCAGAATATTTCTAAAGCTGATAAACAAATTCAGCAAAATAGCAGGATTTTAAAAAAAAATCAACATGCAAAAATCATTAGCTTCTGTATGTATCAATAATGAAACTGTTGAAAAAGAAATTGGGAAAATAATTCCATTCACAATAGCCTAGAATAAAATAAAATAAATCTGAGAAAAAAAAAATCGCCCAAAGTATTTGGTGGAGATTTCTTAAATTCTACCAGCTGGAGACAGTCGGGTTCTTTTTAAGGGTTCTGCTGGGGCCAAGCCAGCCTGTGGCCCACCCAATTTTCTGTCTGTATATCCTAACGTTCCCTCTCATCCTGCCCCTCTCTCCAGTGGCCTTCTTGACCTTGGGTTGTCTCCATCATAAAGAAGTTTCTGAGAACATTTTTAACCTTAACATTTGATCTTTACTTTAAAATCTGAAGTATCTTCCTGCGGATAACACACAGGTTTCCTTAGAAATGGAACATAATATAAAACAGGTGTGTGCTCGTTGGAACGGCTCTGAGTTTTTTGAAGCACTAGGGTGGTGGGCCCGTGCTTATTTCCAGGGGTGTTTCAGTCCACAGGGATGTAAGGCTGCCTGTCCAAAGGGGCTAATGGTTACAGCTTCATTGGGTCTTAGCCTCCTTTGTTATATATATATATATATATTATAAACATTTACACATTCATTATTTATATTTTGTGATTACATATAATATGTGAAATCTGCAGACATGTGTGCATGCATGCACACGCCCAAACACATACACACACAAACACATTTTCTTTCTCTATAGGAGCAACTAGTTCTTCCTCCACAAAGGTTACTTATTTGGTGGACTCAAAATTCCCTTGGGAACAAGAATGAAATCTGTATATTTGTGTACCCAGAGACCCTGTAGTCACTTGTAAAAAATCAGGTGCTGGGAAAATTCTCATCTAGTTGACTTTCAGGTTTCTGTAAAACACATCTGAGATTCCGGGGAAAGCACTTGGTGTAACTTGGTGGGACAGTCTATTATAGATGTGTCTTTCATAGCTGCCATTTATTCCAAAAGCTGGAGAAAATGATAAAAAATCAGCATGGAAGCTCAGACATATGCATCTGATAAAATGAAATATATGTACACTTTATTTTGATTAATATGCCCTTTAAATGAACATATTTAAGTACATATTTGGGCTTATATCTGGTTGTAAATTTATGCTTATGTATTCCTATGTAATATACATTATATATTCATCCATATATTATATATTTAAACATATACTTATGACCAATACATAAAGTATGTATATGTATATACTTTGTATACCTGCACACATATAGTTTTGGTGTTTCCTATTTACTTTTAAATTGGCATTATAATTGTACATACAGAGGGGATACTGGGTGATAATTTCATACAGTGTACCATGGTATACAACATCTAATGATTGAGTCAGCATTTCCTGCTTCTTAAACATTTATTATTCTTTTCCTGGAAAACTTTCACCTCCTCTCTTCCAGGTCTTTATAAATATACCATAAATTGTTGTGAGCTGTAGTCCCACTCTGTGCTGCAGAACATTAGAACTTAGGCTTCCTAGTAACTGCATTTTGGTACTTGTCATCAAACCTCCCTCTGTCCCTGCTTCTTTCCTACCCTTCCCAGCTTCCAGCAACCTCGATGCTACTCTCAATTTCTATGAAATCAACTTTTTAAGCTTCCACAGCATGCATCTCTCTCTCTCTCTCTCTCTCTCTCTCTCTCTCTCTCTCTCTCTCCATACACACACACACACACACACACACACACACATACACACACATACTTTAAAGGATACTGATTAAATGTGACCAGCTTGCTAGCTATTTGGCTCATGCTGAATAAATACTTAAACAGAAGTTTAAAAATCAGTCCCATGTCTAATTCAACAGAGAATTAATTTGCTTGTTATTTAATAATCAACCTTTACATTATTATCCAAAGTACATGTATAGAAATTGGTGTCAACATCTTTATATTCAACCAGAGATATGAAAAATTGTGCTGTGTACGTGTAATAAAAATTGTAATGCATTCCACTTGTCACTTATTTTAAAAAATAATCCATAAAAAACTTGAAAAAAAAATCAACCTTTACAAGATCTCCTCCTTTCCTGGACCTGAAATGTGCACAGAGGAATGGTCAACATCTTTGCTAGCATCATTGAGGAGCAGACCTACAATGGCAGCCCCCTAGTGTGTGGAGTCCTGTGGAGTATGTGGGTGGCAACTGAGGCCAGAGCCAGAGAAGCAGAGCGCCCTCACTGGGCAGTCTGTCCTTCCCTAAGCTGTGCTTAGCACTCTGCCTCAAGTCCTTCGGGTCTCACAGGGCTGTGAATAGTGCTGCTCCATTCCAGAGAGGTCAAACCTGGGTCTTGGAGGGGTGAAGTGCTTGCCCAAGCAGACAATGGAACAGGGTCTGGGTCGGGTATGAGACCAATGCTCATCACTAGACCATCCCCATAGCTCTTTCTTAGACAGACAACCTTTCCCTGCCCTCTGCTAGCTCCCTCAAGACTGCAGGACTTATGCTGTGAACTGGCTTGGACAAATTAAAGTGACTGCATAATACTTGAGTATCCCCAATTCTGCCCTTTAAGTGGGAAGATGTGTGTCACGGACTCTGCAGAAGAACATACAGGAAGACACAACTCATTGCTATTTTTAAGTAACACTAATTAATAACAATCAATAAACAGAGGCTCATATAATTGCTCACAACACCCGGGCCTTTGAGCGTTCACCAACATCTTCCTTCTGTCTTGTCTTCCTGATTGTCTCAGGCAAAGGTGCTTGCTCCCCTAAATGTCAGGAAAAGCTTCTTCCAAACCTGTTTTCATTTGTTTGCTTTATATTTATTTTTTTTGAACCTAGGGCCTCACACATGCTAGGCAAGCATTCTACCAGCCACTGAGTTACATCCATAGTCTTTCTTTAATTTTTTATTTTGAGGCAAGGTCTATGCTAAGTTGCCCAGATTGACCTCCAGCTTGCAATCCTCCTGCCTCAGCTTCCTGAATTGCGGGCATTACAAGCGTGTGCCACCATGCCTGGCTCTGGTCACTAGATTGTCTTAAGAACTTTCAGTAGCTCCTTGCCTCTAGAAGTAAACTTGAGCCTGTGAGAAGGGGCAGTGGCTGTAGGAGGTAAAGGAAAATAACTGTGGCTTGATCAGCTTCCTGATGAAGGTTAATGGGAAGCAAATGACCAGGGTCGTGGCTGTGTTTCCCTGCCAGAGTGGCCCTGATCCGCCACCCTCCTGGGTCTGTGCCCTGGACAGTGTGATTTTCTTCCTCCTGCCATAAAGAGGTGAAATATATTTTTCCCTGACATTGAAAATGGAGTGGCCTGTGGCTTGTTTTGGATAAAAGACTGTGGCAGAAGCGAAGAGCCTGGGCCACAAGGGCTTCTCTCTCCCTTGAAGCCCTGCCTACCTGACCTGTGAATAAGTCTGGGCTGCCAGTAGGATGATGAAAGACACATGGCTCAGCGTGCCCGTCACCCCCAAGCCACAGCCGTCCATCTTTCAGACACGTGGGTGAAGCTGCCCCAACCCAGAGATCATACAGAGGATCCAGCAGCTGACCATGCCCACATGGGTGAGGCCAACTGAGATGAGAGGTGGGAGCCTGGTCCAGATGAACAGAACTGTCAACATTGGGTATCATTAAATGTTGCCATTTTTTGCTAATTCAATTGATGTGAAAGGACATCTTGTTTCATTTTGCATTTTTTTTCCCTCACTAGCATGGTAATCCCTTTTCCTTTCATTCATAATATCCTCAAAAAAAATAAAATACTTGGGAATCAACCTAACAAAAGAGGTGAAAGATTTATACAATGGAAACGACAGAACCCTAAAGAGAGAAATAGAAGATCTTAGATGATGGAAAAATATACCCTGTTCATGGATAGGCAGAACTAACATTATCAAAATGGCGATATTACCCAAAGTTCTCTACAAGTTCAATGCAATGCCAATCAAAATCCCAAGGGCATTTCTTGTAGAAATAGATAAAGCAATCATGAAATTCATATGGA